TCCAATTAGAAATCCACTAGAAAGCCAAGGGGAGTAGCGATCCAGTTCTGTTGGAATTTCGATAAATTCGAAAATAGAAAATTGAAGACAGAGAGGAAAAACGAAATTACGCTAAACTGAAAGTTTTAGCGATAAAATCTGAAAGAAATTAAGACTGTAATTTATTTTGAAGCGTCTCGAGATTGTAGGATATTCCTGCAGGTATTCGTTCTTCGAACGATACACCACTCAGCTCAGGAGATCTTCAAACGCCATAATTACAAGATCGTACGACTTCAAGCACCATAATTACATGGCTGAGGAATCTTAAACGTCGTCTCTAAATCGCAGACCTTCGAATATTATCGTGTTCCATGACCCCGAAGATCATTGCTCAAAGTTCTAAATACCATTCAAGGTTCATGGCGTTTGGGATCGTATGGATCACGAATCATAGCATCTGAACCACTACGAGTCATGAATCATGAGGTCCGAGGTCTCGCGGGTCACTCTCATGACATCAAGATCCCACGACTAACAGATCTAGAGATCAGATTAATCTTCTAATTGACTTGTAATTTCCATAGAGATGGTTTCACGGAAGCAATCATCGACTTTTCTAAGACGAAATTGTGGATGTAGCAATTTGAACTTTTTCAGGAGTTAATCGATTAATTTAATATATAATTACCATGGGGAAAGTTTCGTAGCATTTCGTTTAATCTGATTTTAAATTTCGTTCGATGGTGTTGCACATTTGTGCACCAACTCGCAGTGGTCTGTTGAGTAAATGTTAATAATAATAATAATAATGTGATGTAAGTTGCTCTTGCAACTTTGCTTTACTGTTTAATAGCTTAATTATTTACTTCACGTCACATATACAATTTCTAAATTAATATTAGAAGCGAAGAAAATTGGCAAATTTCAATTCGTTTCGGATGAAACTCTCTCGACACTGATATCGACCAATTCCCAAACTGAACCATGAATCTCATTAGGCTACGCTTTTTAGATATTTTCGTTCGAAGCGTGTAATTATCGCGCCTGATAGATCGGTAGACAAACTATCGAAAGGAGGATCTCGAGTGAAAGAACATTTGTTTGTATCAGACGAACTGGAGCCGGTTGTGAATCTTGTTTATCAAGTGGATCAATCAAAATCTGGATAAGAAGCCGAGATATACCTGGATTTCGTACGATGCTAATTAAAATTTTTACCACGATGTTGCATTCTTCTCATAAACGCAACGCGATTTTCTCACAAGGGGTTTTTCAAGACGTTCGTTACGATTCCGGTTTATTGTATTACAGTGATAACTGGAAGGAATTAATCCAGTTGTAATCGGTTTGTCGTACAGTAATAAAAACCACAGCTAGATATTTCATGCCAACTTTCACAAAATGAGAATATCTTTGAGATCAGAAGGTAATAAAATTTTGACAAGCGTATTATATTTGCACGCTTTCACGAACATGTCGTTTTTTTATCGAGATTAAATATGTTTCATTATTATTCGGACTATGCATTGATATTCCTGTGTAACGTGATTAAAATTGCAGAATGATTACAATTACACTTATCGAAACTTCGAATGAAGTTTAAATAATGGAAGGATTTAAAATTCAAAAAATTGTACGCACAAATGAAATCAAAAGATTTAAATTTGATTGATTTTTAAATTGATTTGTGTCTTTTTTTCTTTTTGTCAATATTGGCAAGATCAATTTGTTCCCAATGAAAAATTCTTAAAGTGGTTAAATAAATTTCCATTAGGATATGAATGATGTTTCGACCAATTTATCTGACTTAATCTTATAGTATTAATTACATTGTAATCAAGAACTCAAGTAAGAACTTTAGAAATCCACACACATTAGTTTGTCATTCATCATTCACGTCCACGATTTCATTTCAATTTATAATTTATTTATTACTCCAATTGATTTTATTTCGATTTATCAATCCAAAGGCTTGCTTGTTTCTAATCAACCATGTCGAACCGAATAAAACGCTAAAAGAATTTATTTAATTTACCTAACTACATAAATCTACGTAAAGTCTACATAAAATAAAATTGAAGCAGGATTTAAGTTTAACTTCATACTTATCTATGTTCGACGGGACTCATTCTGCAAGCAAATTTATAATTGCAATTATTCAATTACGCAAACTCGTCGAACTACTTAAAGTCGCGGTTTTTCGTTTTTCACATTTACGGGACGTATTTTTAATTTTACCCGATCTGGATTTTCAATTTCACGCTATCTCGATTGTATGCATGGTTCTACATAGTGATCTCCTCATTCTACGTAATTAATATCTATACACAATATGGATTTTAGTTGGTACGAACGCGCCGGTACCACACGATCGAGCCAGACGAGTGAAAGGCACAGTTTCTTTCGTTGAAAAATACCACGAATCGCGTATCCGTTATCGAAATTATCGAATAATCTCGAGTCTAAAGTGAGAAGTTAATATTGCCCAGACGCGTGGCGTAACAAGTGATAATTTTCCAACGGAAAACTGAGGCTGGTTATATATTTCATTTAATCTCGAGATTAAACGAAGTCGAACTACTGGTTTTCTGCTGATTATTTACTGTATCGTTAGGTTTTTTTTTTTTTGTTACAATTAGCGCTATCGGTTATTAAGTAAAAATATTTTCCTTTTCCCCGTCGTTTGCTTTACTTCTTTACTTGATTATAATTTCTTTTTAAACATGATTCAGTTTATATGCGAAATAAATTTTAGTTCGATCGAGAATTACAAGAAAAGGCAATAAATCGCATTTTTTTATATTTTACAAAGCAGTTTATTAAAATTCAGTATGTGGTTAATTAAAACTGTCTTGATTAAGACAATTCTTGGATTAAACTTCTTTTTTCTTCGTCCTCCACAAAATTATCGCTCGTTCTAATAATTATATATACCTTTTCAGTATTTTCACAAAACCTCAACTATTTTCTCGCTTCAGAATTTTAAGTCAAATCACTGTCAATTGTATTGAAACCCTCGTTTAATGACAAAGCGATGCCAGAATTAGGGTATCAGTTAATTTTAATTTAACCGATTCACAGCCTTCATTCCGTACATGAAAGAATCAACTTGTCATAGAATACGGTTTATGTATAAAGTGTCACAGTTTACGACGGAGTTCATCACTCGGGGTTTCGAAATTTGTCGGCTCGTTTGTTTATGATAATCTCGCCTCGTGGCACAACAGCAGCACAGTGTATGCATACTGAGGGAAACATTATTGGGAGAGTGGACTAGCCATTTTCACTGGAAACCGATTACCTCGCCAACGTGGGAGTTGCCGGGATAATGACATCTCTGGACATTTCAGATGCTCGATTTGGTATGACTTCTGTCGGTCCGATTCCCGTTCACCGACAGCTGCTCGCGATTGCCTCTTTCAGGACAGGAAACTCTATACTAAAGTCTCGAGAGTCGAACAGAATTCCCGGTGATTTGACTTTAATCGAGAACTAACGACGGAACAGTGATCGCATTGTTACGATCATTGTTCCTTCTTTTTTCGAAGGGACGTTCCGCTCGAGATGTATTTAGTGGTGAAGAAATCGATTCTATTATTATGATTATTATTAATTTCTAATTATAATAATTTTTCATTAATTCTAGTATCCCTTGGTACTCTTTGATTCATAAGTAAATTAAAATAAAGTCTCAATTGCGAAAATTCTATTGTAATACTGCTGTTTCATAAGAATTTTAATATTTCACTCAGGATAGTTTGCTCTCGTATCGGACTCAATTAGATGATACTATTAATTGTTGAAACTTGAAAAGACGAATGAAAATTTTCATCAACATTTAACATTTAAAAATTTCAGCGAAGGGAGTAACTGTTAATTTATCATGTAAAATGTTTTTCAATCAAATTTCAGCCTCCAAGAAGCAAGTAGACAGCCACAGTGTTCCACTAAATTGTAGGAAAATAAATAATCCGTCCGAATCGAAATTCAAAACGATGACTCTGTTGAAAGCTATATTACTCCCTCCTAAATTCTATATTTTATATCGTAGCAGATTTATTGCACCGATAAACCAGTCGCCGAATCTCGAAGCCCGGTGCACGAAACGGATCACGCGAATTCAATCATGCGCGAATACATGTGGCAGGCTCGTGGCATTTAGAAATTTGGCTGTTGCATTCGGATGTACAGTACATTAACTTCGTGATAAAGTCTCCCGATCTTAAATTACGCGACGTGAGGATCCTGATTAATTTAGGAAGCGTCTAATTACACGTTTCTGCCGCTGACACAATTTTCACATTGACCATATATTTTGAAGTTGTCACTTCGTTGCAGAAAAGCTATTAAAATTATTCTTGTAACGAGACGGCCGATATAGATAGTCAAACAATCTCGAAGATTTTTATAAACAAATTGTAATGGACTTTGACATCGAAGTCTAAATTTCAATTTTTTTCAAATTGGAAAACATAAGACTGGTAAATAACGATGCAATAAGTTAAAATAAGTAATGAGAGCTTGGAAAGAAAGTCAGTCTAGACGTCGAGTAAAAAGTGGCGAGCAAATAGGCGAACTTGGACAAGAAACTATAAAATGGCTCGGGAACGAGCGAGAATTCGTCGATATATCAGATTAGGATAGGCGTGCACTTTTCGCGAGAGTGAATGGAAAATTAAATTTGCGCTTGTAGACGCGATCTAAATGGGCGCGATCTAAATTGCCAAGAACGTTGGCGTTCGTTAATCCCCGCTAACGTTCAAGATCTGTTTCCTTAATTGTCGCTTACCGCTGAATTTATAATTACCAGCGGTGTTTCCTGAATAAAACGATTTCGATGTCCAGACGAGAGTAATACTTGAACGTAACTTTAAACGAAAAGGCACGCGGAAACTGAGTGTGTAACAAGAACACGATTCTTTGTGTACAAAAAAGTAACTTTTATTCCTTTTATTCCGTGGACACACGATTTCTCGACGACAATTTACATTCCCTCTTGATAGATAAGTATATGTCAATATACTGATCACGTGTCAAATAAAAATAATTGAGACAGATTTTCTCTTGAATTTCACTGTCGTTCTCTCTGGCGTAGCTGCCCCGTGAATACTTTCGAACGTACACCTCGAGTAAGGATCCAGTTGCAGCTGTTCAGGCGTCAAATCGATACGACAAACAAGACCTCGTAAACTTTCGCTCCTGGCCACGTGGTTTTAGGGTTACAGCAGGAATATCGCAGGTTTAACATCCTGCATTTCCACTCGACCAGTTGCAATCAAAGAGAGCCTTTTTTTTTCATTTTGGGAAATTTTTATTGAACCATTCGTTCGCCTTTATTGCGTTCGCGATACCACTTTACGATCCCGGTATAATTCGACGTTATTCGCCGAACAGGTTGGAGATACGGTCGATGGGAAATGGGAATCGGAAACGGTTTTCAGTTCGAAACCACGCGTAGTTGTACGCGTCGACCATGCCTCTGGTATCCAGGTGCGAGGCCAGCGTTCGTGCCAATCGTTGTCGCGCTTAATCGTAGCCGCTGTCCGTCCTAATTAGACACCGTGTAATCTAGTCGTCACCACCGGTCATAACTTCCATGAACTCTGAAACGGGAAATTAGAATTCATGAGCGATCACGTGCCGTGTAATGTGCAATCGCGTCGAAACGCGTAGCGTAGCGAAGGTCTATGACATAACTCGCGACGGAGTTGCAAATTCCGCGCGCAATAGTGTAATCTATGTATCATATCAGAGGCGTGAAATGCTCGGTAAATAGGAAAGTTTCGTTTGTTTCGCCTGCGGGTGAAAACGCGCAAACCCGGTAGACGACAAGCGTTAATTAATTAAACGGACTGATGGATTCTTGGCAAACGACGTCGCAACAAGCAGTTCCCTGTAATTTCCTCAGCATGCAACACTATTTCACGCTTCAATTTTTCCTGGCACGGTGCAACCAAGTTCACCAAGTAATTTGTAATTTGATTGGTGGAACTATCGAAGCTGATGCTGTGAAAATTGTATGATTTTATGGTGACGACCGCCTACCGTCGAAATCGAGCGTTCCTGACCCGTCAGCGTCGATCTCCTCGATCATCATGTCCAATTCCTGTGGCGTCAGTTTGTCGTCCAGCTCGTGAAGAATGTCGCGGAACACTTCGGTTGTTATGTATCCGTTCCCTTCTTTGTCGTATAATCGGAATGCCTCGCGTAACTCCTGCTGCATCGCTTCCGAGTCCTCCTCCACTAAGAATCTGGCAGCCAGGGTGCAGAACTCTTCGAATTCCAGTTGGCCGGACCCTGTGATAATGATCATGAGCAAAATTTGTCGTGACGTGTTGTTGGATCGTATATGCAGGAACGCGACAAGGAGCAACTCTCCTTCTTTCGATCGATTCTGTTAGACTTTCGCATTAATTGAGAAATCGTGAAGAATATTCGCGTGTGACGTTGGATTATCGAGAAATTCTTTAGTGACGGACAAAAGGAGAAGATGTTGTTAATCTACTGAATATTATATTTTTTACCACTTTAGTGACAGTAATCTACTCAAGAAGCGTATTTTACGTTTATTCGTGTTTTCTATCTTTCAAACTCTTTTTTCTTTTTTTAACGGTATCGGTACATGTATTCGGAAGTTGAAAAATTATTGAACGAACGCGGATATAGCCATAAGTTCCTTTGCCATTTTTGTCTATTTCCGTGACAATGTACAAAAGAAGATTCCACGTTATAAAAGCTGAAGGTCTTTGTCTAATCGATGTATATGGTATCTGTTAATTGGATCTGTTTAAGTTTAGTAATTAGAAACTCGTTAGATTTTTCTTACCATCTTCGTCCACTTCCGTGATGATTTCTTTCAACGTTTTCTCGCTCAGCTCGTAGCCCAACATGGTCAATATCGTACCCACCATGTCGGTACCGATGCTACCCTTTTTGTCGTGGTCGAAGGCATCGAAAGCCTTCTTCAAGACTGCAAGAAATAATTAACTAGTAATCAATAATTTTAACTGTAGACTAAACAAAAAAAGTGAATTACTCACGAGCAATTTGATCCTTGGTCAGATCATCCTGAAATCACACATTGTACGCATTATTACATCTTGTCGACATTTTAAACGGAACATATACGACTTGTCAACATTTTAAGCGGAAATAGTAAGAAAATAATTCGAAATGCACTGGATAAATATTGTAAGAGAGTAACGTGTCACTCGTTGAATTTTTACTCGTAACAACGCACCATGTCGAAGTGTTAGTCAGACGTAGAGCTTTTTGGAATCAAGTGTTAACGCGCAACAGCATCGACGGCTTATCTGAGTATGCACTAGATTCTGGCTGTGGACTTCTATTTTATGTGGACATTAGGATGATCTGGCACGTGATTGACCGGGCTGATATCTACGTAGGAACTCTAGCGGTTTTCAAATTCATCAAGGACACTCTCCCCACTCTACGTTCCCGCGGAAGCCGGGCTTCAATTGTGCAAAATTCGAGGCAACGCACTCAATTTCCTATTCTATCGCGAACCGTTGCGTTGCCGTCGTCGAAACGGCGATACTTTTCCAAACTGGACTATATCGGTAACCTCTTACATTTATATCTCAAGCTTGAGACGCTCGAGACGTGAGATCGTATATTTTTAAAATTTCGAAGAGAGATCAAGAACGTAATGTAACTAGAATTCGCGCGCTTAAGTTCGTTCGAAAAATTTGTGTCTTCCCCCTCGTTGTCCACGCAACTTTCGACGTATTTTATATTCCTCCATTTTTCTTATATAAACGCAAGATCATCTCCACCGGATTACCAATGTTTCTGTTTACTTTAATTTTTCAGTTGAACAGTCTATACTTCGTACAGCGAACGATAGAATTTCGATCGTTTGTAATTCAATCGACGCGCGGTTACATCATCACGTGGTCGGTATTCGCCATATTTATCGCGGTCGCGCGATTGTCGTAGCGTAATAATTGGCGGGGGAAATCCTTTATATTTTGCAAAAGCTTTGTTTCGCAAGGATCTCTCGATCGCTGGCCCGGCTTGTCGAGGGAAGCTCGAGCTTCCGCCATAGGCTATAGTTCGCGATTCACGATCGACATTGCCGCGACAATAGGCGAAGTTGGCTCATCGCCGGATATCGTGCACAATCTTCCGAGACAATTCCGACGTAATAAATCGGTCGTATTCTTAGGGAGCTAATTATATACTCGAAATATGTAACAGCTAACACCCTAGCATTTTCAATATATTAACACCGATTCTGGCATTCGGCTCGTTTCCATGTTTCGAGAACAAGTATTGTTCACTTCGTAGCGAGAATGCCGCCGCTCACGCAACGATCATGGCTAACATGCTCTTTACCGCGGGCTAATTTTAAAGCTATATTTACTACACGAGGGCACACGTGTTTACTACACGAACGGATTTAAGCGTTCCATTTAATGCGACTTCGATGCAATACGTTATACTCGGTATACTCGGTATACTCGATTCGACGATAGTAATTTCGTTAATTGTAAGTATTCGCGCGGTATTGAGACCCCCAGCAGAAGGAAACGAGTGTCTCAATCCATTCCAAGGATCGAATATATAATTCGTCAATCATTGAATGTTTCAGTTTCTTGAAATTTTTATAAAATTTTGGAACCTAAAGAACGCGAAAGATATTAATCGAATCCCTGGAATCTTCTTTTCATATTAAAGATGAAATTATTGTACTGATGTAACTTTGGTCTTTAACAATATTTATTTAAAAGAGATTCAATTGAAACAAATGGTACTAGAATATGTACACCACGTGTCATGGATTGTCTTTTCCTTCATTTGACATTAATTGTGCAAACGTCAGTGGCCTTAACTTATAATTTATTTATGCATACTACTACAAACAGGGGAGAGGGAGGAGTTGTAATTAAACGAGTTGTATTTGCTATTTTTTTGTACTTTATTACAATGCGTGTAATCTCTTATGCAAGTTACGTTCGACTTAAATGTACAGTTTTACAATTACAACTGGATGTGTGAGTATCATGACGGTTAAAAATAATGATAGGTTTTGCGGGCAAAGTACGAAGCTTTCGAACCCTAATTCACTATGCAGATAATACCCAATTCGATTTCGTTAAACTTCGCACGATCTCCTCCTCAATCAGCACATAATGAATAAAACAGAAACTACTATCACGCACGATGATAATTGGAAACGTCGATTTGTATCGATCGATATAAACCTGTTTCTAGAAAGCATGCCTCGCTAGAACACCCGCGAAGCTCGAGTCCGCTTAATCCCGGCATGGATAGAAATACATTTTAGCCGATTGTGAGTCCAAAAGCGACCCACCCGGCAGAAATACTTTCTCAGCTATATCTATTCGCTGCTCCTCCTTTACAGACATCACCTACGAACCTTTTAACTTCATACTTTGCCAACAGTGTCTCGATAAATCGCATCCTCCACGTGTGTAGAACCAGGCGGTATCGTCGTTTGCATGCGTTCTCGTGGTGACCAACACGAGGGACGATCGCCTCGTGCCAACGTGATAATTTAGCCTGTCATGACCTCCATGAATTCTGCAACGCGAAACGAACGTTTATTCATTACTCGGATTTACGAAAAAATATATCCTCTGCCGTCATAATTTTAGATCTCTGCTACTGATAAAAAATTATGGCCCCACTAGATGGAAAAGACATGATATAATTCCAACGAATAGTATTGTTGGATTATAAATGATTGTATATATGTCTAAAAAGTTTGTGTTTGATTATTAAAAATGGGTCCAATCTTGTTTCATATTTTTAAACGCCGTGATATATTTTTAATTTATACATTTAACGTTTGTTTCATATTTCTAATTCTGTGATGAGAATTCGTAGTAAAATCCGTAGGAAAAGGATTAGAAAATTAAGCAAATTAAATTAAAGTTAAGGATTAAATTAAAGGCTTAAAAAGGGGCGTCTATTAATTTGGCTACAACCCAGATGTAAATAACATATAAAATCCTCTAACTGTCAACAGTTCATTCAACACTAGAATCATCGACTAAAAAATAAAACTTGCGTTAGACGAACGAAAGTAAAGAATAAAAATTGCGAGGAGCGCAAGCTTCTATTTATATAAATCTTACGAAAAGTCATTCAAATCTTTTAAATCATGCAAAGATCAAAAACTCTGTTAGCTCAAGAACTGACCAAGATTTTATTTCAATAAATACAATAATATAATTATTCAGATTTATAATACACACTTTCCTAATATATTATACGTACCTTCGAAATCGACCGTTCCTGAGCCATCAGCATCCACTTCATCGATGATCATGTCCAACTCGTCAGGGGACAGTGCATCATCTAGTTCGTGAAGAATGTCTCTGAATACGTCGGTGGTGATATAACCGTTTCCCTCTTTGTCGTACAAGCGGAATGCTTCGCGTAACTCTTGCTGCATCGCCTCCGTGTCAGTGTCCTCCTCCATGTATCGGGAAGCCAAGCCACAAAACTCTTGAAAGCTAAGTTCCCCGGATCCTGGAAAATGAAAGTTATTCAAGAGTCAGACGCGAGGAATAATTGAAAGACAGTTGCTTAGCGAATTGATTTACCGAATGGGTCGAATTCAGCAATGACCAATTGCAGTTCGTCCGTTGGAATTTTCATACTCATCATTCCCAAAATGGTGCCGACCATGTCGGTGGTGATGGAACCCTTCTTCTCGGGATCGAACGCGTCGAATCCCATTTTCAATTCTGGAAGATTGCAGAGAAAGATGATTTCGAGAATTGGGAAATTAAAGAAATCTCAATTCTCAAGTACTATGGAACATTGAAATTTATACTTACTATGGAAAAAGGTATCAGAAATTGTTAATATTTATCATTTATCGTGAATGAAAGACAAATTTAATTGTTCTTGTTTCATCTGCTAATAACAAAATGAATTCCAAGTGTAAAATAAAAGAAAAATATAAGAAAATACGAGAAGGAGACTGGAGATAGAAATAGAAATTGTAAATGGAACAAACTCTATAGTACTTGAGAGTTGACAAAAATTTGGCACACTATAAAATCGATACTCACGTGCAATTTGATCTTTGCTAAGTTGAATATCATCCTGCAACGATGAAAAATCGATTCACATTTATTAGAACTTCATTTGTTAATTATAGAACACACCTACTGGCAATTAATGTTTCGAATTAAATAAAATTACCCAAACATCGCCGTACGATATCAAGATATACTCTCGACAATTACTATGTTACTATTTCGCGTAATTTCGTGTTATTAAATGTAATGGCGGTGTACAGCTAGGATTCAACGGTTTCCTTGATAATTACCATTGTGCCGGCGATTCGATATATTAACGATAATGTTCGTCCGAGCTAATCACAGTTATCACAGAAGTGAATGATTAACCGTCTGTGCAATCGCTTCTGAACAACTTACTGTACCGATGGGAATGTCAGACTGAGCCTTAGTAAACTAATTAGCAGAGGCACACAGACGCAACCCCGCATTCTTGTTAGCGTCGATAGACAATCACCAATCATCTGTCGATCCAAAGGCACTATAAAAAGATTCTTAATCGGGACCCTTTCACGGCACGCACTTTGCGCAAACGTGTAGTTTGTTGTCGCAATCAATGAATGACAAACTACAATCGGCGTTTAAATCGACTGCTCTTTCCTGGTTGTTTCACCTTATTTACACCTCGTTGATGATAATCGCCAATTTTACGAGAATTCTCGCCCTTCCACTCTGATTAAACAGATTTTAGAAAATTCGAACAGATTTCTTGAATTAGAAATCTTGGATGAAGTGAGTAATAGTTCATATTCATACGAAGATACTCGAAAAAAAAAAAAAA